GACACAGAATCCGAAACAGGCTCCAGGCTGTCAGCACAGAGCCCCATGCAAGGCTCAAACTCACGAACCATGAGATCACGACCTGAGCCAAAATTGGGACACTCAACCGAGCCACCCAGGTGCCCCTCAAAACACTACTTTAAAAAAAATCCACCATTAAGACTTTTTATCCTCTTGCTAAAAATAAGTACCCAAGACAACTTCTATAAATCCAAGAGGAAACATCAAACAAGCTGTTTGAAGCTGAGATCATATGCAAATAAATCTCAGTTTTCTAATTTAAGACAAACCACCCGCTGCTTAGTTTCTATCTGTCTGTTTACTATCACCTGCCAGCCTGTATTTGAAGACTTCTTTCAACCAAATTAGGGATTTGTGGACGAGGTTGAATTTCTGGAGTTCATGGTCTGATGAAAGGTACAGGGTAAGTGCTCCTACAGCTTCAGCAGGGGTTGGGCTTTCACTGGTTCTGTGGTGTGGTAATGATCTGCTCAGGCTGCTTACTGTGAATTATGGTTAACACCAACCCTGGGCTCTGTAGGCCAACAGGAGAGAAGGGTGTCTGAAATATCCACGAGGCTTTGGTTTGTATGCTTTGACCCTAAAATCCAGAAAAGGGGGGAAGGTAGGTTTTTCTTCACAACTAGGCCAACTTTCCTCTCTATCTGCCCCCACTTGTGGATCCTGAGCACTTAAAGGCAGGTGTGCTACCCACTGCAGAATCAAAAAATAAAACCCAACAGGACTCAGCTGAGAAGTCAGGCATTTCTTACAAACACACCTGCCCACTACCAGTGGGAATGAGTCCACAGCTGGTCTCAACACCACCCTGGTTAGAGTTAGACATAAAAGAAAAGCAATTTCAGATCATTCGTGTCCCAGGAACCTTTCTACATAAGCTCGGGTCAGGTTTCTCATTTGCTGGGGGGTAGTAGAAGAGTTTAAGATCAGACCTAGTTCAAATTCTGACATTAGCCGCTTCCTTTTTTTTTTTTTTTTCAAGTATCATATTTTATTATCACTTTTTTGGTAACAGCTCTATTAAGAGACATTCACATCCCAAAAAATTCACCCACTTTTTAAGTAAGCTCTACTCCCAACATGGAGCTTGAACTCATGACCCCAAGATCTAGAGTCCCATGCTCTTCTAACTGAGCCAGCCAGGCGTCCTGGCTACTTTTTAAGATCTTAGACAAGTTCTTTAACTTCTCAGTTTCTCCATTTGCAAAGCAAGGCAACATCTATTTCAGAATGCTAGAGAACACTAGAAAGCACTCGGCACAATACCTGGTCATAGTCAACAGCAAATCTGTAGTTAACCTTACTGGGGAGTCAGCAGCAAAGGTAGATCACTGCAAGGCTTTGAAGGTGCTCCTGTCCCCATGTGAAGAAAGGTACTACACCAGGCGCAGACACCCATTCATGCTGTACCCAAGTGAATTAGAAACTGGCTAGGACAATGTAAGCAAAAGCATTTTTTAAAATCTAATTTTATTCCTAAAGTTCAAATTAGCTAGCAGTAGCACTGAAAATACACTTTCACTATACAAAACAGTGTAAACTGATTACACGTGAATAAAGATTTTAACACACACACTTCTCTAATGAACGAAGCTAGAGGCAGCCCTTACTCTAAAAAGCTGTACCTGAACAGAAATGGACATGTTGAATCTAAGGCCCTGGCAGTTGACTATAGAATGTCCTTTGTTCCCAATTACGTTTAAACGCAGAAATAGCAACAATGTGGAAACTTACATTCATCAAATAGTAGCATTTAAAATATACATGACTAATAAAGTGAACATTAGAGAGGACACTGCTCAGCGTGTACCGTGTTGGCCACTTGTGGACAGTGATCTCATCCAAAGAACAGAAGTTTCAAACATCTGAGTAGTTTAAGTTAAAAATAGGATGAAGGAGAAATAAGAGAACAGGATAAGTGTTCTCCAAAGGGAGCAGTAGCTGACGCTGTAAGCAGTCTGACTTCGTCAGCAATTAGTGATCATGGACATGGGATGAAACCCAGCAAAACCTGGGAAACGGCTTGTCCACAGGCTGATAGGTGCATGGCATGGACCAATGTTGCCACAACTTAGGATCGAATCTTTCTGTCCCCAGTTAGTAGTGAAAATAATCTTTAAAAATAGTCTCAGCCTCTGAACAGTAAGTTTCCAGTCCCTTCTGTGCATTGAAATGTCTGGGATCAAGCGTGGGGCGAGCGTCCTGTCGGGAAGAACCTGGACTTCAGGACTTGAACACATGCACGGCGCGCACCACGTACTGCCGGCAGATGGGACACTCGCTCATGCGCTTGCCGCACTTGGTGCAGGTGACCATGTGCCCACACTCGAGCAGGACACAGTCGATGACGGCGTCCATGCAGATACGGCACAGGCTGTCATCTTCCTCATCCTGCAGCTGCAGCCGCTCACCATCTGAAAGGCAACAGACAGCTGGGGCTGCAGGCACTGCGCTGCCCGACGGGCGCTCAGCAGGCATCTGGGGTGACCGCAGCGGCCGTCGAATGAGCCCAGGGTTGTAACTTCTCTGCACCTCAGTTCCCTCTGCTGGAAATGGCAGTGATAATAATGTCTGTACCTCGTATTGTGGAGAATAAGTGAGAAATGCTTAAGGCCAGGTATGAAATGCCCAACAAATGTTACCTACTGATTTCTGTTTTTTATCTGTATGTAACTCCAAGTGTTTGCGATAAGGATAAATTACTTCTGTAAGTGAAAATGAGGAGACCCAATGTTGTCCTACTAATGGGCCTCAGAGAGCACGACTGGAATTTCCAACCCAACTGTGTGGCCTTGGGAAAAGTCAGTGTCCAGAGCTTCATCTCAGTAGGAACTTTATTTCCACACTGATAGAAAAGTTATGAAGTACATCAAGCAGCCTGTACTTGGGGGAAAGTTTAGAAGTATCTCAAAAACCAACTGTATTCCTGGCCACCCAGGTACATTTGGAGTCTCTCTAACTTGAAATGGATAAGCCATCCTTGCTGTGTGGCCCAGGTTGGGTTCTGAGAAAATCCAACCTGGGGTAAGAAAAGTGCTGAATGAATTTTAAAAAGTTCACCTCAGCCTGAGATTTGTCGATGGAGCTATGGACACTGAGGCTTCCCTTTCTACAGCTTGTAGAGGGGATCAATATATCACGAATACAGTTAGAAAAGAAGAGGAATTCAACCTTCAAGGGCCAGTAGTCTCTGGATTTAAGAGAAATAACAATGCCACAATCAGGAGATTCTTGTAAACCAGGGGCTGGGGACAAAGGATGGATGGGATGAGCCAATGGAGAAGACACTAGAGGGCTACTGAATAAATCAGAGTCTAGGCTTTGGTCCCCTCTCCTACATGGAAGTTTCTTTCCAACTCTTACAAGTTCTGAGCATAAAGCAGAGGAGCCAGGGTCTGTCAAGGGTATTAGGTAAGACTGTCGGGGTGAGTCTCAACCTAAGTGGCTTCAGCCAGTCAAACTAGGGAAGATTCCAGCTGTGCTCAAAACAAAATGAGTATTCCACAAACCTGGAGATTGGGCCAGGGAAAGGGTAAGCAGTGAATCAACTGAAAAAGGCACTTTGGCAAACGCGCACGTCACGGCTTCCTCTACCATAAACTCCTGGGGGGGTAGGTGTGAGGATGGCTACGCATGACCACTGTTCACCGTACGCAGCTGGCACTTACACTTGCTAAGTAAATGGGCTTCTCCCCTCACTGCGAGGATTCCATTTCCCAGCCAAGGCCTGGGACCTCTGAAGGCTCTGAGGATTAAGATCTGTGTATCTGCCACTGTGGCATCACCTTAGCAATAGGGATGCCATAACACTGTGTATTCTGGGCATAAACCTGTTTATCAATAATTGCTGTATTATAAGCAGATTTAAAGACAAAAAACTCAAGATGGAAAAGTTAGTGATGGGAGGGCTGTTTAGATAGAAATAGTATTTGTCGGTCTAAACACCACTAAAATCTTTTCTCTTGCCTATAAACGCTCTATGGCTTGGCCCTGTTACTGGCTGAGAATTTCTGCTCCACGCTTCATCAGTCAATAGTTGAAGAATTCTTAACCTCAGCTTTTCACAACTTACACAGAAACCTGATGCTTGATGCTAAGAACTACTTAACATCTTGGCTGTAGAGAATTTCTTTTTCCCAGTTAGGATTTAAAAGCTACCGAGCTAACCGAAGTATTGGCCTGCCAGAGGGGTCAGTGAGAAAACACGCATTTTTAGGGAGACAACAAATTTCATCAGACTTCTCACAAATTATGGCGAAGAAAACGAGACTGACAAACGATTATCTAACTCACCTGCCATTAGTGATCTCAGAGCCAACATCACATAATAAACTTACTACTTAACAGATCAACAAACAGGTTCCTACATCTAATTCGCTCAATAAAAGGGTAGTTTTCGCCAAAAACGTGCCTTCACTGTGGCAAAAACAGCCAGTTTTTAAAAGCCAAAAGAAGGCTACCAGAGAGGCAAAAAAGAAAAAAAGAAACCTACATGACTTTTGGTTTTCTTCATTCTCTTTGTATAACCGGTTTACTTTCTCTACCAGCTCCCATTTCTCACAACAGCCAGAATAGTTGACAAAATTCCGAGCCAGGATCTCCTTCAGCTGCCGCACGCTCATCCCTTCCACCTCGTCAAGGCTCGACAGGTCAGAGAGCGAAGCTCTCACTCGCTTCTTGGAGAGGCCGGGCATCTGCAATCACAGAGGGCTTCCTGAGCTCCATTCCTGCAAACACAGACCTCCCACAGCCAGGCGACTGCATGCGCCCCTCACCCCGCAGTCCCACTGCCCCCCCACCCCCGGCCCTGGTGTTCTTCCCAGACGTCGCGTCAGTTCTTGAAGTGTCTTCTAGATGATGCTACATTCAAACCAGAAGAAACATCCTGGGCTAATGTGGCACATGGCCGCATGGGCACTCTACCTGCCTGCCAGGTTCCCCTGTCAAGGAGACCAAATTTGACAGGAGCTCTCACCCGCTCCTCCAAGTTTTCTTCATCGTCATCATCCTCATCATCTTCGTCATCTTCATCATCATCATCATCATCTTCTTCTTCTTCTTCTTCTTCTTCTTCTGTGTTTGCTGAAGCTATTTCACTTTGTACCTACACACATAATCGATCTCATCAGGTTAGGAATCCTATTATCCTAACGGCATCCACCCTGTTTGTCAATACTTATCACTGGAGAAAACCTTTCCCACAGATCCTCCCCAAGAATGACCCCAACACCTGGCATACTCCACAGTGACCTTGGGCTCCAAAGAGTTGGGCCCTACATAACTTCATAAACAACTTACCTTCCATAAAGTTATCTCAAAACCCATATTCCTTTGTGTGTGTGAATTTGTAAAACCTCACCAGAGTATTAACTCCCTGAGAAAGGTCCTGTCATGAAATGCCAAAGCCATAAGTATATGTAACTGCACCGCACTGTTCTCAAAGGACCTGCCAAGGCTGGTCTGAGACACAGAGACAAACTAAAGTTCCAGGTCCACCCCAAGCGGCAGGGCCAATTGATTTTAAAGACTTCAATCCCACTACATCAAACTTAGACATTTTGACTCCAAAGAATGGTTTTTAGATTTCCTCACCGATGCCTGTTGCTGGTTCTAGTTTTCAGAAATGCCTCCACAATCAGAGGTACTCTTCTTCAGGAAGAGCACAGAGACCTTCAGCATGGGTTACGTGCCATCTTTCCTATCTTTCTCTTCAGACTTGATTTTGGCCATAGCTCTACAATACTCTAGGTCAGTTCCCAGCTTCAAACATTCCACCCCACTCACTGGTTCACACGCACCATGTCACAGCACCCAAAGACCCACACCTCCCAAGTGGGGTCCTATAACCAAAAATGGCACAAAAGTCAGAGGTGTCGTATGTTTGCATCATTATTATGCCAGCTCTCATTTGGAAAATAAAATTCCTAGCTTGGACTTCTCTACTTTATGACTATTTAGAGGTAGGTAGGCCCGATTTCCCTCTGCTTTTAACTGCTTTCTTCAGAGAAGAAAATTAAATGTGGAGAGAAGTGTTGAAAACAATCCATTCAGTATTTTGGAGTCATTCATACGTACAAACTGAGTATTAATTACAAGCCCTTGCAGGTTATTCAAGCAGAATGCCCAAGGACCCCACTGGGACAATATTCTACCATGGCATTTCTCTGAAATTAGTAAATAATCACATCCTTTGACTAATTCAGATGGCTTTTTCCCATTATCTAAATTAGAATTAGAGCAATTTTACTGTCGCAAGGCAACGGGGCATTAGGTTAACTTACTGTATCGTGTACGTGGTCCCTGACAAATGAGCCTACAAACATTTATGCACTACTTTTCAGTCATTAGTTTAACAGCATTTCACGTCTTGGGAAACTGAAGCAACCTGAGTCAAGAGACTGCTGAGCTTCAGACAGCTGACTCTGGGGCTCCCTGCCACCGAGGCTCTGTGCCCCCCAGGAGAGCCCGTGTGCACAGGAGTCAGAGGTGTGTGCAATCTCTGCTCCCACAGGGGCTCATGAAGCCGTAAAGACCCCACCACATACGGCCGAGCAGACACGCCAGGCCCTTGGGGGGATCCCAGCCTCGTACCTGTGCCAGCGCTCCAGATGCCAAGGTCCGGTCTCCACCCATAAGCTCTCCCTGAAACGAAGACACGGTAGCAGAAGGGGCTGTGTAGTTTGAAAAAAATGAATGTGTGAAAAAGCTAGAAGTCTGGGACTGTGAGGAATTCAGACTGCTCGTGTCCAAGTCGTCCTCAGAGCCCAGCCCGCGGTGGCAGAGAACGAGATCTACCAAGTCTTCCTTCTCTCGACAGGTGTCAATGGGGATGTTTCGAAGAATGAGATACTGCCGGAGATCCTTGACTTTTAGTCGCATTAACTGTGGGCGCTGAAAGGCCGTCTCTTGTAGTAAGTGACAAGTGGAACATCTACGGAGATTGTCTTGTAAGACTGAACAGACGGAGCAAAAATCCTTCTTGCAGTCACAGCACACATGCTGGAGAAACAGAGACAAGAAGCAGTCAATGACAGCCACCTACAGGCCCCTGGGAAAGCACTAGTTTTCTTCCCGCCTTCTATAAAATTCAATTTTAGTTCTTCTAGAGTCTCCCATGGCACCTGGCTACTCTCATAGCCACTTCCGTGTTCCGAGGCCATGAAAATCGAAACACTCCCTGCTCAGGCAGTTTGGATTCACAGAAGTTCAAAAACAGCCCTTTAAGAAAAACACATACTTTTGTGTTAATGAATTAAAACCTTTCCACCCCTTGGTGCAAACATGTAATTAGCAGAACAGAGCTGACTCGAACCACGTGGAGCAGAAAGCACCACCACAAACTCTTCCTGCTCTTTTCCTATGTGAAATTCCCCATTTAAAGACAAGGTGGGCAGGGGACCCAACACAGGGAAAGGGAAAGAGAAAGACAAATGATCTCTCAAGGTTGTTCCAAGCAAACAGAGGATCTCACTATTCTAGTCACCTGTACCCTGCCGAGGCCTAATCACACTCAAAGCCACTGCACAAGCAAAGCTTAGGGACGACGTGAAGATGTGACCCTTTCTACTTGCTGCACTGTTCCCACCAGCTAACACCTTGTTCCCGAAGTGTTTCAGAGGACTGAACTGACGATCAAAGACTGAGATGGCCTCGCAATATGATGGTGCTCAGAAAAAAGGACTTTCCGTCCTAGAGAAAATAAGTGTTGTAGCCCAACTGTTTCATGTTGAACCTCCACACAGTAGTTACCTTACACTTATTTCTTCACTTGAGTGAAGAATGTGGATAGGAATACATTTTTTGGAACACAAGGTCAGTTACAGTAAATCACCTCTGAACAAAACTGCAGACTAATGAAATCCCTTGCTCCAGAACATAAGCATCATCAGGAGGAATAAAGTTTACAGAGCTCAGAAGATGCCTGAGTAACGTGAGAACAATACCTCATCAGGACACTTGAGCAGTAATACAGTCCATTCAACTGAGCACT